AACGAATGGTAGCTTTAGTAAAGAGTTGGTTGAAAAAGGCAAAATATGGAGAAGGGCAATGGTGGTTATCATTGTTAGCATACAACAGTACGGAAACAGCAAAAGGAAAGTCACCAGCGGAAATATTTTTAGGAAGAAAGACGAGATCAAAATTAGATTTTTTAAAGGAAAAAGTGATAAGGAGAGAACAAGCAGAGAGTGAAAGATTTCCAGTAGGAAGTTTGGTGTGGGTATTGTTGTTTGATGGGCCTATTAAATGGGGGAAGGGGGTAATAAGCAAAAATATAGGAAAGAAAAAAGTAGAAGTAAAGATTGAAGGACAAGAAGGAACCTTTACAAGGCACCTGAAGCAAGTAAGGTGTAGAAGCTTAAGGCCTTAGAGAGAAATGAGAAATATACGAAGAATTAGAAAGGAATAAATTGATGATAGACATAGTAGGAGAATCATAATTTAGAAAGGAATAAATTGATGATAGACATAGTAGGAGAATCATAATTTGGAAAGGAATAACGTGATGATAGACGTAGTAGGAGAATCATACGTTGTAGGAAATAAAAGGGATGTTAGACTTAATTAGGAGAGTTATATTTTATAAAGAGTTAGAGAAGAAAGTCGAAGAATATATATATATATGTGTATAAAGTATTTGATTTAGATGGCCTCCTATGTTAGAGTGGGTAACAAAATAATGAAGATAGAGATCCGAGAGGTTGACGGTTCAGAAGAGTCCAACAGATGGGTAGAAGCCGCTAGGAACGAAGCAAAACAAAGATATGGAGATTGGCTACAAGAGACGCCAACGAGAGGGGTTCACAGGATAGCACCATATAACACAAGAAGGAGAGTGGAATGTTGGGCTTGTGGGGGAGGACACAAGTTACGATATTGTCCCAGTGTAGAGTTGACAGCGAACAATAATACGAATTTACCGATGCGAAATATGGTTGAATCAGCGAACACTTCGGGGGCAAGGGAGATCTAAAGGAAGGAGGTGTTGTATATGCAAATTCGAATGTTAATTTTGAAAAGTGATTATTCATAAATAAATGGTAGACGAAGATAATATTTTTGGGGTAATTTGTCTATGTAAATAATCTTAAATTGAACATAATATTTTTCTATAAATTTTATATATATATTCAAATATGCAAATTTTATATATTTAATTCTTCGAAAATTGTTTAATTTTTTTATATATATAGATATACATTGTTAATTCAAAAAAGTACAGTTTTGGATAATTTGGATTCTGCGAAAATTATTTTATTATTTATTGACAGATGATGTTTTGATTATTAATTTACAGACGATATTTTGATTATTATTTTGGATTTGATAGAAGTTGAATAAAGAGTAAAAGTGGTGAATTAGTATTAGAAATTATTAATAATTATATATTTATTTATTTATTATTAGTTCCATAGATAGTCAGTCTCTCCCACTAGCCTCAGCAATAAATATCAATCCCATATTGGTACAATATTAATCTCCTAAGAGGATACCTATGGCAATTGGGCGTAAGTCTTTGTTGGGTTTTTCACCCAAATTAAATGTTTTATCAATGCCTAATATACAGAAGTCAGCTTGGTTTGACAAAAACTTTATAGTTTTAATAATAAAATGAGTATAGCAAATTATTGAAGGTGTTTTGTCTTTGATATGAATGATTGATTGGATAAATGGCGATAATGTAGATCATTTGTAATGTGTAAAATATTATCCGCGAAATTTAGAGGTACTTTTATATCTTTTTTAAGCTTATAATTTAAGTTATAAATTTGGTTTAAATTTTTTGATTTGATAGGGTCTTTTTGAAATATATAATTATTATAAATATTGCGACATGTTTGATTGTCCTTTATTTGATTTTTAATATTCGATAATAACTGATTTGATGTCCGTACATAAGGATTTACAATCTTTTTGGAATTCCCATGGCAAGCGGGACTGGGCCATTGTCCTACATATTCTACTAAATATATATCTTTAACATCATGATAATGGTTTTCAATAAAATTAATTTTTAAAATGCGGCATTTATTATACTCTTTACTTCTCTTTAAATTACTATAGTATTTATAAAGAACAATAATATTTTTGGTTAAAGGTTGAGGTTCTATTTTTTTAAAAATTCTAGAACCACCTTCATCTTTAAAAATATATGGACCTTGAACATTATCGTTATATATATTATAATATAATTTTTTTGAGCTTGATTTTGAACCCTTCCACGGTCCACAATCATCTATACATAATTTTTTATTCTTATAATTTGTAAAATTCTTATGAGAAATTAAAAAATACACATTATATTTTATACTTAAAGGTATTTCGTACAAAATATTATTAGGAGAAAGCAAAATATTTATGAATTTTACAATGTTTAAAAAAAAACCGTAGTTTGGATGACCTCCTTCGACTATAATATTGTTTGAAAAAAATGGTAAAGATTTTATTCGGATATCTTTGCTACATGGTTTTTTTAGAATATTTTCTATCGAAAATGATAAATCTTTTATAGTATAATGTATTATTATAATTATTTGGTATAAGAGATACAAAGTGATTGATTCTCAAATTAAATATATCATTTAAACATATGGTCGATGTCCACATGCTTAAAATATGAGGCTTTCTCTGGCTTACTCCCCTGCCATAAAGGATATCGTTAAAAGCTTTTAATGATTTTGATGGGCAAAATACATGAATTGGTTCGGCAAGAGCTGCACTTAATGCACATATATGCATTTGCTCAGCCCAAACATTTATACTCAGTGCCGAATCGAGTAACTCATGATAATCACTAACCCATATATTTGGATTAATTTTATAGATATTGAAAAAATCCGAATCATTTTTATCATAATATTGCTATTTCGATAGCCGTTATTAGCCGTAAAAAAATATGATGCATTTGAGTTTTATATAACGACATTGAAATCGCCCGGTAAAAGCAATTACCGTCAGATTCAATTTCCTGTGGAATATAATTCTTTAAGATTGGTGATTGTTGCTTTTTGTATTATTTTTTTCACTTATAAGATCTTTTGATATTTTCTTTAGCGTCATTGGTTGGGGCTCTCTTAATTTATTTTTTTTCTCTTAAGGCCATAGCTGGATCCATTTTTAATCTGCAAAAGAAGAAAAAAGTAATTTCTTAAAAGCAGTTGCCTGTTAGATCTTCATATCTGGTACATAGATGACGGGATTATCAGCGGAAGCCCAGAAGAGATAGATAAAGCCTTAGAAATTTTGCAAAAGGATGAGCCAGACATAGGCCTTCTTTCAAATGTCGACAAATTTCGACACTGCAATCTGAAGATCATGCTCTATTAGCTTCCCTCAATCAAGGTTCAGGATATGAATACTTGGATGCCATCCCCTCTAAAAATCTTGAACTCGAACTTTCAAATCAAGAATTCAGTTTTGCTGTAGCCATTCGATTAAATGTAACAATCTCAGTTTCATATAAGTGCGCCAAGTGAAAAAGGCCAGTAAGTCAAACTGGTCGTCATTGCCTCCAATGCATCTTTAGCAGTAAACGCTCAACCCGGCATAACAGATGTAATGCTCTTATATAACGAGCTTTACAGTCAGCAGGCTTTCCTGCGCCACTTTAAAACCCTCAGGTCTCTTTACGGATGGGAGACGACCCGATGGAATTACACAAATTCCTTGGGAGAATGGCCGATTTCTAGCATGGGATTTCTCCTGTGTTGACCCCCTCTCACCCTCCAACATCAATAAAGACATTTTAAAATAAACCGAAGATTTTAAAACAAATAAATATGTGGATATTCCAGATGAGTATAAATTCGTACCAGTTGTCACGACAACCTTAACATCTCTTGGAAGTCAGGCTCTTAGCCTAATTAAAAAGATTGGCAGAACCTTAAGAACAAAATCAAGAGACCCAAAAGAAGGCGTCTACTTAAGTCAACGCAGAGGAATTCAGATTATAAAATCTAATTTCACATGCTTCATAGGTTCATTCCACGAGGAGCCCGATTAATCTAGATTTTTTTCTTCTTCCCTAAATTATTTAAACCCCCCCCCCCCTTCCCCCTTCTTCCTCGTATAATCATTTGCACTAATTATATTTCAATTATTATACTTTGTATTATGAAGTCGTTGGTTGTTAAATTTCTTAAAATTTCTAGAATTGATAAATTATATATTTTTCTTAAATTCCGTTATGTACAACAAAAATTACTTATATTTTATTGTAATTATATATATTTATTATTTTTATAAATACAGTATTTTTTTTAAAATGTATATTTACGCGAAATTAAACATTTTAATATACTAGATTTAATATATTTTTAAGTTGTACATGTAAATGTATATATTGGTAAGTATTCTGTATTATTTACTTTTATATTTGTATGCCTAATAATAATAATTGGTTCAGATTTCCTGCAAACAACCTATCTAATTTTTTAAAATAAACCTATGAAAAATGTTAATTCCAGTAAAAAAAACCTTGATTCAACCTTCTCATGTTTAAAATACATTTTCCTAGAGAAACACAATATCGGAGTTGTCGTAATTATATTTACTCATTCAGATGCCGCCCAAAATCTAGCCTAACTTACCGTTGATAGGTTACGTTATATAGATTATTTTTAAGGTTGTATTTGATCTTTTATCACTTTAACTCTAGGGCTTTATTACTTAAAAAAAAGCTTTGAATAAGTTCAAATCAACTTTCTGAAAATATAATAAAGGGAACAGTAAATTTAAGTTGACTCTCTATAAAAAAACTTTATTATTCAAATGACCAAAAAAAAATCTAAAAAAATCTTATTTAATTTGACTATCAAAAATGTAAAAAGGACAAAATGACAATTAAAATTCGAGTTATCATCATTTAAATTGAGTTTTTCACGTTATTTTCAAAAAAATATAACTGTACAATTTATTTTACCCTGTAAAAAAATATATATATTGTTTTATTTAAAACCTCTAAGATAATAATGAAAATTATAACCAATTGTACCTTTGCTCTTGCACTATTTTTCGTATTCACCATTCTATCAATCCAAAGCCGTTGTAAACAATTTTATGATTTTGTCTTTATCTGGAACAATTATAGTTTAATTAAATTATTGCTTATTAAACAGTAAATTAGCTTTATACCTTTTTCTTTATAAACGAAGCCGCTCCACCTACTACAACAGTAACGACTTCTTGCATTGATGTTTGTCCAATGTTATTTTGTATAAATGGTAAAGAGTTAGATGCTAATGGTTGCCCTATATGCCAATGTAATATCTCTCCGGTTATTACAACAGTAACGCCTTCTCCAACACTCAAACCTTACAATCCTTATAACTATCGTGGTTCCTACAGGGATCGAGCTCATTATCGCTGGAATTAAAGGAATCTATAAATAATTTTTTTCAAATTTAAAATAATAATTACACATAATAAATAAATTTAATAATATATTCTGTATTTGCTCAAAATAAAACATAAAAGGCTTATCAAAATATCCTTTCTTACATGATTTATTAATGATACCACGATTTCGAATATCTCCATATGATTAAGAAAATCTTTAAAGCATAAAGCTATAATATGATTATTAAAAATATATTCAGAAAACAACTTAATTTTCATAAAAAAATAAATTATTTTTGAATTTGAGGGTTTAATCAATGAGATGATGGATAAAAATAGAGAAAAAGACGATTCAGTGGATCAAAAAGAGAATATATAAGATAAATCACATTTCATTAAGTAGCTGGCCAAAGCTAAAATCGCGACCTTTTTTTTGTCAGCGCCATCACAAATTATTTAGATTTATTAATCATTAAAAATTATAAGTAAATTTTCATTTAGCTTGGAAGTTCATGGGTTATAATGGTTATTTGAAGCTTGAATCCATATTGACCCCATCTGATCCTCCGAGTAACTTTTTTTTCATCTGCTTCAGTATGATCCTTTTTATATCATGTTGGGAAATTTTCAAATAATTTTCTTCTTTTTTTTGATTTTTGGAAGGAGATCCTAAAAAATATAACATAAAATCTTAAAATGAAGTCACATTTATTAGTAGAGTTTATTGGATATAATGTTTAAAATATGAAAGTTACAACTAAATTTGATTCTAAAGCGCAGAGGTATTGAAAGTACTTTTCAAAGTGATCTAGATACATTTACATTGTTAAAAAATGAACTTAAATACAGGTACAATTTTTATTATATTTGGTGTGCCTGATGCTTGAATTAGGATTCTATTCTTAAAATTTAAATTATGAAGTGAGCTAAAAAAGTTTATTGAGCTTATATCACATCACAAATATATATTTAAAATAATGATTTGTTAGATAAAATTGCTGGTAACATTATCAAAAGAAAAAACCGCTTTGAGAAAAACGTTATGTCTGGAAGTGGCCTTATTATTATTATAATATTCATGAATGATCATAAATGGAAAAAATATACTTCTTGGTAACAATTTCGAATCCCCACTTTAAAACAATCTTCTTTTTTTCTTTCAATTTAAAAAATGCTTTAAACAGCAACTCACTGTTTCAAGGAAATAAATTGGCCCATTCTATATGTAAAAAAATATAATAAATTTATGTTGTTTTTTAATATTTATAAAGTATAGAAAATAAAAATTTGGACATAGAACAAAATATCAGCAACCAATTTTACATAGCAATATTTGGTTAGTAGGGATCGTATGCTGATGCCCATTGTTGCAAATGAAGAGTCAAATTTAACTAACCATACCATAAATTATCCATACTCCCATGAAATCAAAAATCATCACAGGGAACTAATATTTTAATTCTCTGTAAACTGCCATAAATATCCCATTCTTTCTTAACTTGGTAATCACTATCTAGCAACACTGGTCACAAGTGTATAATTAGAATCTGTTTTTTAATGGCTTATGATAGATATTCTCTATCGATGCAGGCAAAATCCTGGATACGCCTATGATCCATTCATTTATTGTTATCCTAAAAAATTATGTTGCCATCATATTCATTCAATAAGAAGTGTTGTTGATTTTTAATAAATTAAACATTTATTTTCTGTCTCTACTATGATTAGAATTTTCTTATAATATGAAAGGTGGGTGAAAGTCATACTGTAAAATATATATTTAATTCGTTTAAATTTTTTTTATTTGGAAAATGTACCAAATTATTTTTATTACACTTAATTTAAATATTTCCGAAGGAAGGTAAGAAAGAAAGAAAGAATGAAATTTACTTCCTGGCAACAATTTTGAATCCCCACTTTAAAACATTCTTTTTTTAAAATTCAATCCATGCTTTAGAGATGAAAAACTACTTCTAGTATACATTAACAGCAACTCGCGTGAGGAAATAAATTCGCTCAGTCTATGTAAAAATTTAAATTAATGTTGTTTTCTATTATTTATATAGTGTAGAAAATCAAAATAACATAGCATATTTAGTTTGTAGGGATCTTATACTGATGGCGTTGAAGCAATTGAAGAGTCAAATAGCATCAAAAATTGTCCATATTTCCAAGAAATCGAAAATTATCACAGGGAACTAATATTTAAAGCAATAAAAATACCCTAGCAAATCCTTTAAAATATTTAACGGTAAACTGCCATAAATATCCCACTCCTTAACTTGGTAATTACTTTCTAGTAACACCTGTCACAAGTGTATAAATAAAATCCTGTCACAAGTGTATATATAAAAACTGTTTTTAGTGGTTTTATTATTATTATATGCATGAATGATCATCATTGATAAATAAATGAATGTGTTATGAATTTTCTTATGTGCATCCCATATGATACGGGTTTCCAGAATATGAAATAGGCGATGTTTAAAAATCATCATACATTTTTTCTTATATCTGTTACTTCTTGGTAACAATTTTAAATCCCCACTTTAAAACATTCTTTCTTTTTTTTTCAATTCAAAATGTTTTAAACAGCAACACTCTTTCAAGGAAATAAATTGGCCCATTATATGTAAAAAAATTTAAATTTATGTTGATTTTTATTATTTATATAATATAGAAAATAAAAATATGGACATGGAAGAAATATCAACAACCAATTTAACGTAGCATTTATGGTTTGTAAGGATCTTATGTTGATGCCATCAAAGCAAATGAAGAGTCCAATTTAATTAACAATTCCACCAAATATTCTTCATATTCCCATGAAATCAAAAATTATCACAGGGAATTGATATTTAAAGAAATCAAAATATTAGTGTTGTTAAACGGCTAGATATAAGTTGATTTTTAAAAATGGAGAAACGGTCAACTCAATTTTTTAGCTAGAAAAATATTACCTAAGCCACGAGATTTCTCGCTAATAGATGACCAAATCTTTGTTCCTGTTGTATATATTTATGATATAATTATGTTTATTTAGTTGTATTTATTCCGATTAAAATATGTTTATTTTATTAAAAACAAAAAGAGTTAATAGACCAATTTGTTATATGGGTAAATGAAAATATTATATTACAACACATATATTATTAATGTTTGTATTACGTAGATAAATATCGAATTCTTGTCTAACACGATACTTAAAATCGTTACACACTATTTTAATTCTGAGCTAAATCCCTAAAGTTCCATCTATGAGTAAAATCTTCAGGCTTGAGTATATTTTTCTGGATATAATATTTAGTTAGTAATTTTTAAAATTTGGCTAAAATCGAGCCGTTTAACAACACTAAATATATACCATAGCAGATACTTTAAAATATTGGGCTGGAAACTGCCATAAATATCCCATTCTTCCTAAACTTGTTAATTACTATCTAGAACACCTGTCACAAGTATTAGAATCTTTTAATTGCATGTTATATTGACAGTCTACAAAGCAAAATCCTGGATACACCTATGATGTATTCATTTAATGTTATCCTAAAAAAAAATGTTATCATCATATTCATTTAATTAGAAGGTTATATTGATTTTTGATAAATTAAACATCTATTTTATGTCTCTATATTATTATTAGAATATTGTTATAATATGCAAGGTGGGTAAATGGCCATATTGTAAAATATAATTTTAATTTGGAAAATACACAATAAAATTATCTAACAATTATTATTAACCATCTGCAAATTTGCCAAACTCACTTACTTTATTTTAACAAAAAATATTAACTAAGTGTTGTATAGGTTCGGGAAGGCACTGAAAATAATGTAAGGATCTCAACGCCTTCTTTCAAATGCGTCCAGTAATTTTTTAAAACATTTAAACATATTTCTTGCTGAATAAGTTAGTAGCCCATATACACATTTGGCCTTTATCTTACTATTCGACTTTCATCTCTTGATTCTTTAGAAACTTTTAAAATGGCACATGAGTCGATAGAACTGACTTCTCTTTTTTTTGTAACGGATGGAACATAAAGCAAATTAGCGTGTGAAGTTACAGTGAATAGTTTTTTCATCGGTAAATTAAATAAAATAAATCAAACTTGGATTAAATTTACCAAGGTATATCAACACATGAATCAAACTCACAAATTTATTCGCAGTTGAAAGATATTAAGCCTTTTAAATACTTTAGCCGCAAATCTTTATGAATAATTTGACATATTGAAATTTATGATACATGCCAATCTCTTATTTAAGAAATCGTATTGTGGATGCCCAGTCTTTCTGACTCGTTACAAGTGTTTCAGCAAGTTTGATATTTATCCGAGTTATATCCAGATCTTCCACCGCCATACTTTTTATCTGCTGATCCCGTGCGAATGAGTGCTGATTAAGTCCTTAAAGATATCAATTTCTAATTGGGAAAATTATTGTATAAATTATTTGTCACCAAAATGTTGTTCTTGTCATAGAATTTTAACTACAACTTAATACATCTTTAGTCAAAACCATATATTTTTTTTATCGTTTGGTACCGAAAAAATCGTTTGGTTTTTATTTTTATATGAAGTCCCTTTAAAAATAAAACATTACCGAATTGTTAAGAAAGATGTTATTATATCAATCTGTAAATTTCGAAACGGCTAGCCGTTGGCTCACTCAAGCCGATTATCGAGGCGAATTTATTTATTTGAGATGAGTGTTAGTGTTGCTAAAACGGCTGAGCCAAGACGGCAAAACCCTAAACTCATCTAGTTTTTGAGTCCAAAACTGACTCAAGCCGGCTCTTTGAGCCAAATTATTCGGCTGGCTCGAGTCGGCTCATCACTTGGCTCAAGCCGACTTTTGAGCCGAAATTTATTTATAAACGTCTGAGCCAAGCCGGCTTAGCCTTAAATTCAGTTTGTTTTTGAGTCATATGACTAGGCTCAAGCCAAAAGGAAGATCTCATAATTATAAAAGATCTACGACACATATTGCATCGGTATGGCAGACTCTTGTTTCTTAAAGACTATGGATATTAAATAGTCGTTACTGATACTCTCGGGGAGGCGGGTTTATATTATTATTTTTTTTTATGTTATTTTTTTTATAATATTGTTTTTTTATATTATTTTTATTTAAGATATTTTTAGGAGAATTTTGCCTACAAATTTAATTTTTTGTGGTAAAATATAGGAATTCTTAATTCCGTATATTTAAGATATTTTTAGGAGAATTTTGCCTACAAATTAAATTTTTTTTGTTGTAAGATAATTTTAGGAGAATTTTGCCTACAAATTTATTTTTTATTTAAGATATTTTAAAATAGTTTTTTCTACAAATTTTTATTTAAGATATTTTGAAAAAGTTATTACTATAAAATTGTGTATTAGGGGTAAAAAAAATAGGAATTCTTAATTCCGCATCGTTTATATATGAAGGTTGGAAGGGGCAGGAGAATTTTGCCTACAAATTTAATTTTTTATTTAAGTCTACAAATTTTTATTTTGTATTAGGGATAAAATATACCCAACCTTTGAAGTTTAAGTGATTTTTTTAACCTTTATAGTGAAGGATATAGTATTAAATGACTCAATTAAACATAGTATTAAAATTTATACACGAAAATATAGTATTAAATTCCCAATTTTATTCATTAAATTGAAATTTATTATTGAAATTAATACAGTGATATATAAAATGAATAAAAATATCAAAACGATTTAACGATCTTTCTTAAAAATATCTATATTCTAGAAGATATTCATGATTATTATCCTCATTCCCATGTCTTTTATAGTTGGTTTTTAGATCCCGCCAAAGCCTTTCGACTTTTTAGGTGTTGATTGATCTATCATTTGGATTAATAAAATTTCATGAATTATTGACCCGATAATAGAAATAATTGGCTCGTTCTAACCTATTATATCTAAGATAAAAAGATTTAATTTCACTAAATAAAAAGTTAAATTTGTAGTTAAAATTCTCCTACTCCCCTCCCTCCCCCATACTCGGCTTAATTAAGAATTCCTATATTTTAATCGATTACAATAAAAAAACTTTTTTAAAATATCTTAAATATAAATTTATAGGAAAAACTATTTTAAAATATCTTAAATAAAAAATTAAATTTGTAGACAAAATTCTCCTAAAAAATATCTTGAATATTCGGAATTGATAATTCCTATATTTTACAAAAAAAAAATTAAATTTGCAGGCAAAATTCTCCTAAAAGTATCTTAAATATGCGGAATTAAGAATTACCACAATAGGCAAAATTCTCCTAAAAATATCTTAAATAAAAATAACATAAAAATAATATTATAAAATAAAAATAATATAACTTCCCCCCCCCTTCACCCCGAGAGTTGCAGTAACCAAATAATCGGAACCAGTTATTTGAAATATCTTTAAAAAAATGATATAATAATTTTTAAAAAAAAACATAAAAAAAGGGTAAGGTCTATAAGTCGAAAGGCTTGGTAATACGAAAGGCTAAAAAATAATATTGAAAATAAAAATAACAAAGAAAATGATTAATTCAAAAACTTAGGATCACAAATCAGCAAACTCTCAGAAGAACCTCGAGAGGGTTTTTTTCTTCGTCAACGACTATCCATAGCGATTCTCAAAGCTAATTATATCAGTTTCAATGGTAGTCTTCTAGCCAAAGAGCTATCCTAAACAACACTTACGTCCCTTTTTCATTTTTGTTTCCCTGCGCCACACCATCTCCGTTCTTTTTTTAAATATTATTATTATATATTATAATAATATATTTTTGTTTTATAAAAAATTGATTTCTTTGTTTGTTTTGGATGATGAAAAATAAAAAATTTACATGAGATATTTAATTGATTTATTGTTTTTTTTAGAGAAAAAATATTATAATAACATTACATTATAATATATGCAAAAGACCAATCTTATTTCAATTTTTAGGTATATAAAAATTAATTATACACTAATTTAATTAGTATAATAACGATCAATATAATAGTAAATTTCATTAATATGTCAATTTAAAAAATAATCACATTTGTTAGTATATCTTTTAAGGATAAATAATAAAATATTTAATAATATAAATAAATATATAGTAAATTAATATAATAAATTGAGCATATGATTTAAAAGAATTATGAGTTTTCATAGTTTGCCCTTCAGTTTATCTTCTTCCATCTGAATATTCCTCTCTTGTTCTTAATTGCTTTTCTCATCGCCGATTCTGTGATTAGGGTTTGGTTCTTTTGTTGACTTCCATCTGAATATCCCTCTCTTGTTCTTAATTGCTCTTCTCATCGCCGATTCTGTGATTAGGGGGTATCAGTCATTGAGAATATGAAGAGAGAATTAAATTCTGAGTTCAATGATATAAATATATAGAAAATTACTTTTAAGATGTTAGCCTCTCCCCTATAAAATACTTTCGCGATATAAAATTTATTTTGTGAACCGGAAACGTAAAAAAATACATCTAAGCAGTTTTGGATAGAGAATTAAATTCTGAGTTCAATGTATTCAAAATTACTTTTAAGATGTTAGCCTTTCCCCTATAAATGTCTTTCGTGACAAAAAATTTATTTTGTGAACCGGAAACGTAAAAAAATACATCTAAACGGTATTGGATAGAGAATTAAATTCTGAGTTCAATGATATAATTATATTCAAAATTACGTTTAAGATGTTAGCCTTTCCCCTAAAAATGTCTTTCGCGACAAAAATATATTCTGTGAACCGGAAACGTAAAAAAATACATCTAAGCGGTTTTGGATAGAGAATTAAATTCTGAGTTCAATGATATAATTATATTCAAAATTACGATTAAGATGTTAGCCTTTCCCCTCTTAAATGCTTTCTCAAATTAAAAATACCATAAAAAATTTATGTTCACACTGACACATGCATGGGATAGTCTCATATTATATTCTCTTTCCTCTAGAGATAGACCATTTTTTGGATAAGGTTTCATCAAATAAGATGACAGTGGAAAAGCATCATCAGCCACCATTACATATGGCATATTTTCATTTTGCCCTGGAAATGCTTTGTCAGGTGGGAGATCTAGAGTATTGTTTATAATTTCTACATTATTATTATATGTATGATTTAATATCAGTTAAAAATTATTATATTCTAACCTCTATACAAGGAGATTTTTTTAAATACTCCTCCATCACTTTGCTTTCCATAAGCCCCTACATCAATATACAGTAATTTTCTATATATATCAGTAAGGGCTAACAAAACTACAGTAAATCTGTGTTTATAACAATAGAATTGAGAACCACTATTTGGTGGACATTTGATATAAATATGTTTCCCACCCAAGGCTCCAAAACAATTGGTGAACCCTGAATGAAGTAAGAACTCCTGGGAAATCTAGATAATTATATATTAAATTGTTGGAATATATAAATTTAATGTACTCTTTCCCAATCTTTTCTTGTAGGCTTTGGCATATAAATATCTTTGCTAGCATTCCAAATTGCCCTGCATACTGATTTAACAATGTATGCAACACAGGATTTGGATATCCTTGAATAAGATAATTGGGAGAAGGACATCCCAGATATTAAATATCTTTATGAATAAATATAGGATATTTAAAATATTTTCATTACCTTAATGTCAAAAATAGTCTGTCCTCTGCATCCACTTGTTTATTGAAATTAGTTATTTTGGGATTGATATCATCATGAATCATATTTAGAATGACTGAAAAGGTAGACCTTTTCATTCTCGTATAATTAAAGAACTGAGATGTTGTTAAATCACCTTTCAGTGTAACATACTCAGAGAATAAATTTCTTTTAATGAATATTTCTGAAGTTTTTCCTTTGAAATTCCTCTTATTTTTATGTTGTAATAATATATATAACGCCATTAACTTTTCATTATCCAAAGTTATTAACTCCATTTATTTTTTACAAAATAAAAATAATTTAAAAACGCCGCTTCAATTTAAACACAGCAAGCGTTATGTTTTTTTTATTAAAAAAGTACGGCAAAACGCTACTGCTCAATTTGTGCGCACTATTATAGACCTTGCGCATTTTTTTTTATTAAAAAAAACATCAAATAATATAAATCTATTTTCATAATATAATAATTAAAAGAAATTAAAAAAAAATATATTTATTATATTCTTTTAAAATATTTAAATTAATAAATTTTGGCTAAAAATTAGACTCGAGCCAACTCCTGAGCCGGCTTGAGCCAACTCCTGAGCCGGCTTGAGCCAACTCCTGAGCCGGCTTGAGCCAACTCCTGAGCCGGCTTGAGCCAACTCCTGAGCCGGCTTGAGCCAACACCTGAGCCGGCTTGAGCCAACACCTGAACCGGCTTGAGCCAACTCCTGAGCCGGCTTGAGCCAAATTCAATTTTTTGGCTCCGACCTCTAGGTCGGAGCCGTATAAACTCGGCTTTTTAACAACACTTCAATACCATCTTGTATATGCAAAGCTTATAGTAGTAAACGCGTTGTGTTCAATCGTTGTGTTATTTAATGCGGCATTATTACAAAATAAAGCCAATATATAGGTATAAATATAAAAATATGAATCGTTATGATGATATCGCCATGATATAAAATTGAAAAACTTATGTTGCGATGCGTTGGTATTTATAAGCGAATTCAGGAAAAAGGTATATTCCCTTTCTTAAATACTATATAAAATATTTAACTCTATTTTAGATTAATCTTAAATTATCAGCTGTTCTAACGCTCTGATTTAACCGAACGCTTGAAGTTAACGTGTTTACTATAAAGGTTTAAATTCGTTTTTAGCAAAAAAAATTTATGATGTATTTTTTTTATATAAAAAAATTTAATTATAAAATAGCAAACAACCTATCTAATTTTTTAAAAAAAATAAACTTATGAAAAATGCTAATTCCAGTAAAAAAAACCTTGATTCAAACTTCTCATGTTTAAAATACATTTTCCTAGAGAAACACAATATTGGAGTTGTCTTAATTATTTTTACTTTTCTCATTCAAATGGCGCCCAAAATCTAGCCTAGCTTACCGTTGATAGGTTAGGTTATATAGATTATTTTTAAGGTTGTTGATCTTTTATCACTTTAACTCCTAGGGCTTTTATTACTTAAAAAAAAGCTTTAAATAAGTTCAAATCAACTTTCTAAAAATAATAAATAATAAAGGGAACAGTAAATTTAAGTTGACTCTCTATAAAAAAAACTTTATTATTCAAATCACCAAAAAAAAATATAAAAAAATCTTATTCAATTTGACCATCAAAAATGAAAAAGGACAAAATGAAAATTAAAATTCGAGTCAATTTAAATGATGATAATATTTTCATATAAATTGAGAAGTTTTTCACGTTATTTTCAAAAAAATATAACTTTACAATTAATTTTACCCTGTAAAAAAAAATATATATTGTTTTATTTAAAACCTCTAAGATAATAATGAAAATTATAACCAATTGTACCTTTGCTCTTGCACTATTTTTCGTATTCACCATTCTATCAATCCAAAGCCGTTGTAAACAATTTTATGATTTTGTCTTTATCTGGAACAAGTTTAATTAAATTATTGCTTATTAAACAGTAAATTAGCTTTATACCTTTTTCTTTATAAACGAAGCCGCTCCACCTACTACAACAGTAACTCCTTGCCCTCCTGTTTGCTTAATATTTTGTATGAATGGTAATGTTTTAGACGCTAATGGTTGCCCAATATGCCAATGTAAAACTATTCCTCCGGTTACGCCTTATCCAACACTCAATCCTTACAATCCTTATAACTATCGTGGTTCCTACAGGGATCGAGCTTATTATCGCCGGAATTAAAGGAATCTATAAATAATTTTTATTTAAAATAATAATAACACATAATAAATAAATTTAATAATATATTCTGTATTTGCTCAAAATAAAACAAATAAAAAGGCTTATCAAAATATCCTTCCTTATATGAATTATTAATGATCCCGGGATTTCGAATATCTTCCATATGATTAAGAAAATCTTTAAAGCATAAAGCTATAATATGATTATTAAAAATATATTCAGGAAACAACTTCAATATTTATAAAAAGATTAATAAATTATTTTTGAATAAGATGATCTTCCTAAAAATAGAGAAAAAAACGATTTAGTGGATCTAAAAGAGAATAAACAAGATCACATTTCACTAAGTAGCTGGCTAAAGCTAAAATCACGACCTTTTTTTTTATCAGCGCCATCACAAACTTATTTAGATTTATTAATCATTAAAAATTATAAGTAAATTTTCATTTAACTTGGAAACTCGTGGGTTATATCATGTTGTGAAATGTTCAAATAATTTTCTACTTTTTTTTTACTTTTGGAAGGAGATGCTAAAAAATATTAAGAAACAATTTACATTGTTAAAAAATGAACTTAAATACAGGTACAATTTTTATTATATTTGGTGTGCCTGATGCTTGAATTAGGATTCTATTCTTAAAATTTAAATTATGAAGTGAGCTAAAAAAGTTTATTGAGCTTATTTCACATCAAGAATAAATATTTAAAATTTGATTTGTTAGATAAAATTTCTGGTAACATTATCAAAAGAAAAAACCTTTGAGAAAAACGTTCTGTCTAGAAGTGGCCTTATTATTATTATAATATTCATGAATGATCATAAATGGAAAAATATACTTCTTGGTAACAATTTCGAATCCCCACTTTAAAACATTCTTCTTTTTTTCTTGCAATTTAAAAAATGCTTTAAACAGCAACTCACTGTTTCGAGGAAATAAATTGGCCCATTCTATGTAAAAAAATTAAATAAATTTATGTTGTTTTTTATTATTTATAAAGTATAGAAAATAAAAATTTGGACATAGAACAAAATATCAGCAACCAATTTAACATAGCAATATTTGGTTTGTAGGGATCTTATGCTGATGCCATTGTTGCAAATATCTAGCAACACTGGTCACAAGTGTATAATTAGAATCTGTTTTTTAATGGCTTATGATAGACATTCTCTATCGATGCAGGCAAAATCCTGGATACGCTTATGATCCTTTCATTTATTGTTATCCTAAAAAATTATGTTGCCATCATATTCATTCAATAAGAAGTGTTGTTGATTTTTAATAAATTAAACATTTTTTTAATGTCTATACCATGATTAGAATTTTCTTATAATATACAAGGTGGGTAAAAGTCATACTGTAAAATATATATTTAATTCGTTTAATTTTTTTTTTATTTGGAAAATACACAATTGTCGATAATTATTATAATTAAACCATGTGCAAATTTGCGAAACTCAAAAAAATTTATTATCCCCGTTGTATAAATTTTACGAATGAGTGCTGATTGTTCTGAAAGATGTTAATTTCTATTTGGGATAATTCTTGAAATAATCGTTTGTCTCCAGAATGTTCTTCTTGTCATAAAATTTTAATTGAAACTTTAATCATCTTTAGTCAAAACCATATGTTTTATTATCGTTTTTGGTATTTAAAAAAATCGTTTGGTTTTTTATATTTTTATATGAAGTCGCATTAGTAAAAAAATTTATAAAACTTTGCCGAATTGTTAAGAATAATGATATTTTATCAATCTGTAAAATTTCGCAACTTAAAAACTGACAGTTAGGATTAAGTGAAAATAGGGTGTCACTTCAATCGAACCATCTTATTTATGTATAAAACCTCATTTGTAGTAAATGCGTTATGTTTAAGCGTTGCGATATTTAAAGCCGCGTTATTACAAAATAAAGCCATTGAAATACATATATATTGCAATGCGTTGATAAAAAATTTATAAAAATAATAAGCGAATTCAATAAATAGGTATATACGCTTTCTTATAACATAAAATAATTAACTCTATTTTAGTTTATCTTGAATTAACTATTAATTATAAGTTCGCAAGCAACCTATATAATTTTTAAACAAACACACCTTATGAAAAATACTAATTCCAGTAAAACTCCCATTCACCGTTTTCACGTTTAACATTTAAAATACATGTTCCTTAAAGACGAGTCAAATTAAACGATGATAATAATATCTTATATAAATTGAGAAGTTTTTCACATTTTTATTATAAAATATAACTTTGTGATATATTGTTTTATTTAAAACTTTTACGATAATGAAGATTAAATTCAATTATACCATTGCTCTTATAGTATTTTTCGTATTCACCATTCTATCAGTCCAAAGTTATTCGAGTAAACAATTTTATATGATTTTGTCTAAAGCTGATTTATCTGGGACAGCTTAATTACTTTATTTCTTATTTGAAAAAAAGTAAATTATACCTTTTTTCCTTAATAAATGAAATGAATTTAATTTGGTAATGAACCCAAATTAGAATTCAGTTCTTAGTTTTGGGATTACAGATACCTGTATTTTTCAGGTTACAGCTCTATAAAACATTGACTTAGCATCTCCGTACCAAGAAATATACTCTCTTCGACTCTTTGGGGTGTTTTTTTTTGCAATATTATTTATTAACATATAAATTCTTAATTTTTCATTTTTTACGGAATAGGATACGAGTTTTGCCCTTGTAAACCACCACCCGGCTGTGGTCCCGTTTGCCTAATATACTGCCCATATGGAAATATCCTAGATTCGAATAATTGCCCGACTTGCGCTTGCAAACAACCTGACGTTTGCCCTCCTGTTTGCCTAATATTTTGTACTTATGGTAACGTTTTAGACGCTGGTGGTTGCCCTCCAATGTA